TCGTTGAGCACTTGGATTCAATTCATTAGTACTAACTTAACAGTTTTTCCCCTTTTTATGATTTGTTTACATCAATCTTTCATATTTGCCGAGCCTTTTCTAGTGTAAGACAAGGGATAAACTGCTTCATAAGCTACCAAAATGAAGATCGTTATATAATTTTCGATCTGCGTTACATTATTCAGGAAAAGCAGTTCACGTGTTCCATTATTATGAATTATAATTGTCTGTCTCTCTTCTCCGACTTCAAGAAGCATGTTCCATATTTGTAGAACGAAAAAACATTTTCAACAATGGAAATTGCAAAAAATAAACTTAATTGAGTATTGAAATTGCAGTTTTTAATTATTCAACTCTTCCTCAAGGTAAATAAATAAAAAGGATTATTTTAATAATCAAATGTTATTGTAAGGCAAATTACGACAATAAGCATGACCAACGATATCATTGCTCAACTTCATGCGCAGACGGTGCGAAAATTTAAACCCCCGAACTACCTTAAGTATATGTGTAGGACTCTAAAGTGCGATGGTACTCTAAAGTGCGATGGTCACGCTAAAGTGCGATGATCTGCGCTATAGTACGATGGTGTCTCACGCTAAAGTGCGATGGTTGGTTGTTTGCTAAAGTACGATGGTATATCACGCTAAAGTGCAATGGACCAATAGGGTAAGGTTCGAGGGCTTAAAACGTGAAAGTACATGGATGTTAAAAATTAGTCTTTTTGCAAAAGCTAGTATGCTAAGGTATAACATATGTGATAGGCTTTATAATTTACAGATAGACATAAGTGATTGTTTCTAAATTTAGAAGCCCGACTACGTAATAATTGCTTAAAAGGTAATTTTGGTGTCACAAAATACTTTATTTCCTATAAAATGAATTTTAAACAATTCGGGCAATTTGGATGATTGGTGTAGCTTGCCGTTCACTAATGTGAACACCTCCTTTACAGACGTCATTGTAAATATAAATTACAAATATAAAATTCGTTCATTGTCGGAATATGTAACATTTACTTGTATAAGCTTTAACGTAAATGCGAGAATTCGCCGAGCTTTCTCTTTTTTCGTAGCGAATACAAATACATGTTACATTTTCCTACTATGTGCACGCTAATGTTTTATCCGACAGTTTATAATTTACGCTTGAAAACATGAACCTTTTTTTTTTACCGACTTTACTTTTCAATATTTTAAAGGGAACCGCAAAGTAAACTGCAACGTAAACAATGATTACATGTATTCGTTTGCTTCCAATAGAAGCAGGATACAGGATACTTATGCGTATAATATTTTGTATCTATATAGTTAAATGGTTGACTGCAGGATAAAAGTCCTTCTTCCAGCACCCGAAAAAAAACCACATTGCTTCAGCCGACAAAGCACGGTATATATATGTCTCTTGTTTAAATTAATTAAGTCACGGACATTTGGTTTAAAAGTTGTTAATCAAATATTCCTATGTTATCTTCCGGCATGTACATTTGTGGTTTGTATAAACGACTGTTAACGTCATAATCGAACTACGTTTCTTACGTCTATACTTTCGCGGACCATCGGACTTTAGCGTATGGAGGCATCGCACTTTAGCGCAGACCATCGCACTTAAGCGTGACTATCGTACTTTAGCGTTCCTATCGCACTTTGGAGTCCCACGTATGTTTTCAGGTGGTGTCGTATATTGAAAGTTTTGTCAAATAATTAATGCATTTCAAGACAAATTTAATGGTTTCATTGACAGTGAGACAACTATCCGCATATGTTTGTCTGTTGAGCTTACGATACTGCAAATGTATATTCTGTGGTGTATGAACTATTTTTACAGAGTCGAATACTCATGATTACGAGAACACTAGCCGTGTAAACTTTTCAACGATAACATACGAGGACCTGGACGGCGCAAAACATAAAAGTGCAACAGCAACATCAACATCAAACCATACTCGTGACATTGATGAATCTATTGCACCAGTTCATGACGATTTACATGAAATTGAGAAACCGGGAAATACAAAATCGAAATAATATCCCTATTGATATCATCAACGGTTACTCATATATGTTTCCGTTGTCTGACTGAATGCAACCGAAATTAGCTCTTTTTTGTTGAAATGATATGTTATTTACTCAAAAAATTAAAATTATATTATATTTTACCAACATGTCGATACATGAAAAAATTAGATACCAGATTTTAAATAAAATCGAAAGTGTTCTATAAGTCAGACAACAGTTGGTCCAGGTTTATATAAAAATGCAATACGACACATGTACACAGCAGTTCACAAGACACCACTCGTATATGTGATTATTCAATGAAAAGCATATATGACATTATTATTTGATATGCTTATCATTATTACATATTTCAATGTTTTAATACCTACGAAACAAATAACCTTCCAACTGTACACATCACCTTGTGAGAATATATATATTTGCAGCGGTTAACTCGTGTTTATTTATCACGAAGAACAAACTCATCTCTATTGATTATAATGCTTATTCTTGCATGTTCCACATTTATCTATACACAACAAGGTGTATACGTAAATACACCGGACGCACGTTGCTTGTTATTTTTCATACGTTTTGCCTGAACCAAACCAGTCGGTCTGCCATCACATGTAATTATTTACTCATGAAAAATACAAGGGTTAACATTAAAATACGTCAGATGCGCATTCCTTCTAAACAAGTCATCAAACGCGCTCGCTTATGAGAGCCCTGCAAACACAAATAATAAAAGACATTCTAATCTGTCCAAAAAAATTATACCAGTTTAATTGTGTATTTTAATGTGTACGTTACCTTTGTTCATATTGTAATTTGTGAAAAAATACTTGTACAGATTTGTACGAAGTTTGACTAAAACATACTTATTATCTGTACAAAGGATAAATGATAACTTAACATGATAAAATCATGGTCTTTTGAATATTTTTAACAATATTACATTATAACTGCCCTTAGGATAACATATTTGTAATAATCATTTTTCAACTGCTTATTATGTTGGGGTCAATTATTTTAATAAGTTGCCAAAGATATATCTAAGGTATTTTGGTCATTTACTCATTGACAGTTGATCTATAGTTTAAACACAGCCAGCATTGCTGATCAACAGGATAATTGATTCCAGAAAGTTCTGTAGAAAGCAGAGAATTATACACATCAAAGCACAATCATATTTTCACATAGGACATGCATTAAGGGGTTATAGTTATAGTAAAGTTTACCAAAACAATTTTGAAGAAGCATGATCAAGATTGATACTAAATATGATGTTGTCGAAGTAGCTGTAATCGAAAAACTGGTATATTCGTATTTTGTGTATATATCAGCTGTTTTGTGAACGAAAGGTTCATCTTTTAAAATGAATGAGCTTTTGTAGACGTCTATTGGACAAGATCCCAGCCCCATTTTAGAACAGTATATGAATATACATTTAGTTTAATTACTTTTAAAAGAAACATAAATAAAATACTATAAAACTTTTGACTGCTATTTCTCTTAGCAAACTCATTATACATGTTGTAAGATACTCATTTGACATAATGTCATATTCCACACTGGCATCGTTTTTTTAACTTCAACAAGGCCAGTGATGAGGCTAGTGTGAATGTTTTTGTATATGTCCTATTTCTAATCTATATTAAAGAAAAGATAGTGGCCAGGGCTTTCTTTCGTAAGTTCTAAATGTTAATGTGAAAAGCAAAAGATGTGAAGTTATATCAAATGACAAGGCAAAACGCAATAACGGATTGCTACTCCTATTTATTTGACATCTATTTTCTAAACCGTCTGTCATTTAAATATTCCTACCATACAACATGTTCGAATGTACAATTTGAATCAAACAAATTCACGCGTTTTTCGTGACAGGGGAACGACAAGACTGTTAATGGTATAAACAACACATATATTGAATAAATTAAAAAGCACAAAGCATAACACTCACAATTAAAGCAATAGCAATACAAACCCCATTTGTTTTAAAAAACAGGGGCGATCCGATGTGCTTTGAAAAGATAAAAAGGTACTGCTCTACATCTGATGCCAGACGTTTTTTTTTCTAAAGGGAGTATAAACGTGGTGATTTGTCTACTAAGGTGATTTTAAATTCTAGGAAAAGATGACTGTATTTTTGGTGACGACATTTACATGTATTAGAACATATCGATTCTCGTTTGTGAAACAGATATCTCACAATGCTCAATACATGTTTGCGTCCGTTTCATATTTTTGATGGGATGATTTTAACTTCATCCTTTTTGTAATTGTAAGCAGCAATAGACATCATGCTAGGAATATTATATCAATTTGGAGATTAAACTCTATGCATGCGCTGCTGAAATATTGATTAATGGATACAATTTGGAAGCTAAAATCATCTCTTCTGATGTAAAGTTTTGTTATCCACTGAACCGACAATCGGAGGGTATTTTATACATGAAAAAAGCATTTGAAACTGACAAAAAGAAAACAGGTAAATCGTCCATACGTTTAAATTAACAAATGCAAATTTGGTACCATCGGTTCACCTTTCTTATGATTCTCACACACAAAATGTTATGCATACATAGTAGTAAAATATCTATTTAGTTCGTCGTTGATAAGATGTGTTTTGTTATTCTGATCTGCATGACCGATTGTTGCTTCTTACTTAAAAGCAAAGACTCTAAAATACGCAAAATCCGGTTTACAGGAAGATCATACTGCTCCGGAATGCATTTATATATATGATATATGAGTAAAGGTGTCTAGCAAGATTATGTAAGGTAGACGAATGATCGAAGTATTTTACAGTATACACTTATTAATATATCCACGTGATTGAAAAGGTAACTTTGTTTTGAGTAAACTGAAATGATATCATCGTTACCAATTGCAATTTAACAAGTAGATTTAGTTAAGAAAATATGTAGCATACCTGAGAAACCACTGTAAAGTTATTCAACTTCCTTATGTGTAATCCTTTGTAAACACGAAATCATGAACAATCGACTTGACCTGTTTGACTTTTATTTCATTTAACATGTTCAAGATATTCTTCCATGTTTTGTGGCTGTAAGTTATAAAGGAGATTATAATGATTGACAAATTCTGGATAGTTCTAATTGTGATAAATATAAAATGTGTGAATGGTAATGGTAAGTTAATAATATTTATTTATTATGAATTCAATATGATATTGTACAAAAAATGTTACCTTATCAAATATAACATGTATTATACCTTATCTTTCTTCATAATGCTAAGGATATATGTGAAATAATTATAAGAAATAGTTTACGAACATTTTTAAAGTATGTTTCGAAGTATTGCTCACTTTAGTGAAAATATTCAGGTTGATACTTGATTATAATTTTTTGATACTAGGTTTTTTTTTACTTGTTTTCAATAACTTACTGATAAATACATGAATATGTTTCTTTTATATGAAATGATTCTAAAAATGTCTATGTTTGTTTGAATAAGGATAAAGGATAACATAAAGGTTTTAATCACAATAATATCAGGGATAATACAAGGTGTATTCTAAATCAATGACAATATATACGGAAACATTATTTTCTATTATAATTATATGAACAATTGATAATAGATTGTAAGTCATGTTCATGAACTACAAAATGATTATAAATAAACTCATCATAGATACCAGAATTGAAACTTTTTATTTGCGCAAGACGCGCGTTTTGTCTATTAAAAGACGCATCAGTGACGCTCGATTCAAAAAAGTTAAAAAGCCCAAATAAAGTACGAAGTTGAAGAGCATTGAGGATAAAAAATTCCTAAAAGTATTGCCAAATAAAGCCAAGTTAATCAATTCCTGAGGTAGAAATGGTTAAGTATTTCAAAATTCAAAGTTTTGTAAACAGTTAAAGCCTGTACCAAGTCAGGAATATTGCTATTTGATTGGGGATTTTCCGTTTTGAATTTTCCTCGGAGTTCAGTATTTTTATGATTTTACTAAAATTTTTAATTCATAATTATGACCATATCAATGATATTTCATGACTGCTGGGTTGGTGATACACTCGGGGAATAAAAACTCCACCAGCAGTGGCTATCATTACTATCTTTAATCCTCATGACATCACATCATCGTTTGTTGCAATTAAGAATTGCTTTTCCTATAATTGATATGTTTATTACTACTTACTGATGCATGTATGTATTGCTACATCACCTTGATCACATATCATAAGGAATCAACTGCCCTCAATTAACCATGATTTAGGATTACTTATTTGTGTTTGTACTGTTAAAATATAAAAAAAATATCATAATAGTCTCAACAAGATTTGTACTAAGGATGACTCTTGGCGTACGCCACCAGTTTAAATAATTACACATACGTTAAAGATATAAATATGCCTAATTGGTTGTTTGGGTAAAGGATAAATGATAATATAAAGGTTTTTTATCCACAAAAAAAAACCAAAGGATAATACAAGGTGTATTCGAAATGATGATAATTATATACGGAAATGTTTCGTCCTTTTATAAATAACTGAACAATTGATAATTGTCTGTCATATTCTTGAACTACGAAAAAGAATATAAATCACTTATTTGAGTATTCGCTATATTTTGATTACATCATAAAATGATTTGTGGCAACAACGAATGGAATGTTTATTTCTTTTCCCTCATTTTCTGATGCATACCTGTATGGCTACATCATCTTGATCCCAGTTAATAAAAAAATCAACTGTCCTCAGTAACCAGATGTTATGATTACTTAAATGTGTATGCAATGATAAAATAAAGATCTTATATTAATTAACTACTCTGTAATTGGACTTAATATGATGAAAAATGTATATGCAATACAAAAGTGTCAACTTGGCCAATACAGAATAACTTGGCCAATATTGATTTTTTTTTGTATTGGCCGAGTTCTGATCCGGCCAATACAGGATTTCGGAACGTCTCGGATTTTTACATCGAAAGTCATGATAATAAACACAAACGTAGGGTAAACAGTCGTTTGGAGGACGCAGTTTCATTTACTCACCAGAAATATGCCGAAACGTTCAGTGTGTCATACATTTCAGGCTGGAGACGGTCACATTCATTTAACAAAGCATTTTGTAAGCAGACAATTAGCTTATTTCAGGTGTGGGTAAAGAGTAGATTATCACAACCTTGAAAGTTCATTTCTTGTCGACTTCAGGCTCAGGTACAAATCTATTTACAATTTACTTTCGCTTTTCGCGTATTGTTAAAAGTAGTGTGATTTATTTTTTAACCCGAACCAGTCATATGAATTGTTGATGGATGACCTGTAATTGTACAAGTGTTCGTTCTTCTGTCAGTTGGTTTATGGATAGTTGTATGATTTTTAACTCCGACTTTTATTATTTCTAAATAATCTTTTAGTTTCTGCATTGTTGTGCAATGGTAGTAACTTTCCAATTATTATGTATGTGTTACGTCGACATATGAACTCTTACACTTTATAGCAAGTGGAAAGGGTAAAATAATTAATCATAAAAAAATGTATAAGACCCATGGAAGCAGCACCATTCATTTGATATTGCTGCTAATAAAAGGGAACTCATATTTGGATAGTTCCACTTCAAGGTAACAAATGTAAATTTATTTTGAAATGAAATTAAAAAAGTTAACACTGTAGTTATTTAATAATATACTCCGTGTATACCTTACAACAAAATTATTCTTATTTACGTGTGTATGTTATTTCATTAGGCGGCATTTGTTCTAAGGTTATGGTTGTCTTTCTGATATTGTTTTACATCTTGCCCCCTTGTTTTATTAATTTTGATTTTAAATTTTGTCATAGATCAAATTATTCGTTCAGTTTATGTTCACTTGTGTTTTGTTAATATGTCTTGATTGATTTAAACCATTTCAGTTTATATTTTACAGTGTGTCTTTCTATGTTGTTATGTTACACTTTTGTTTATGTAAGGGTGAAGGTTGGTGCCTATTAAAATGTTTAAACCCGCTGCATTTGTTTGAACTTTTCCTCAGTCAGGACCCTGATGTTCAGTGGTTGTAATTTGTTGATGTGGTTTAGAGTTGTTTTTCGATTCTCCTTTTTTTATAGGCTCTGTGTTGAAGACCGCACTTTGACCTATAATAACTTACTTTTACAAATTGTGACCTGGATGAAAGAGTTGTCTCATTTGCACTCATACCACATCTTCTGATATCTATAGAACGTTGGTTTACCTGTTTGAATGGTTTAACACTATTCAACTTTGGCGCCCATTTTAGCTTGCTGTTCAGTGTGAATTAATGCTCCGTGTTGAAGGCCATTCTTTGACCTATAATTGTTTACTTTGATGGAGAGTTGTTTCATTGGCACTCAAAACACATCTTCTTCTATCTATTCAAGCTATTAGTTTATCCAGAAAATTTGTTGATCTATTATTTGAGAAGACTCACATCCAGAATTCTGTCTTCTTTCTATACCCCATACCGCAACGTAATCCAGTTCCATAATATTAACATTTCTTCGCGCATTTTAAAACATACTTTGAAAAAAAACATGAATTGGGCCAAATAGTTATTCAATAAAGACAATCATTACAGGATGCATTAAATCATTCACTCCCGATTCTTATGGTAAAGCAATGTGTTTACATGTATGTATTGAAATAGAGAAAACTTGAATACAAAATCTACATGTATTTCTAGTTAATGATAACTTAAAAAGTAAGAATAACAAAATGTATAAATAGTATCTTTTTTCATCATATTAAATGTATAACATTTAGATAAAGTATTTATTTATTCAAGCAAAATATGCTCAAGCTTATCACATAGAGAGAAAAACCTGGACAGCTGCATCTGATGAATGTGACAGTAAAGAAATAGAGTTTGACGAAAACGTGTTGATGAAAACTGACGTGCTGTGGGATAAGGAATTCTGGATTGGCATGGTCATTTACCGTGTTACTTCACCATGGATTGAAGTTCTTGGTACGTGAAAGAGTACATTTGATTGCAGATCTAAATGATAATGCATTATTTTTCAATTTATTAAATGCTACCTCCAAAGTTTAAGATGAAAAAAAAAAATTAGTAGGTTATCCGCCATCCAATGGCATCCGTCATATAAGGTCATGCGTTCAATAATAGAGAAAATAAAATTATGTTAGCAAATGATCTCGTTAAAACTGGTCATAAGGTATATAAATTATCAAAAATCAATTCAATTCTTTATTAGAATTTATTTCAACACTTGAAAAGCGATAGTTCCTTGTCATTTGATTTTTAATCAAACGAAGTATTAGCAGTACGTGATATAGTTCTTAAAAAGTAAAATCACAAAAATGCCGAACTCCGAGAAAAATTCAAGACCCTAAATATTAAGGCTTTTCTAAATCAGGAATAGATTGCCTTAGCTGTATTTTGCAAATCTTTATTGAATTTGTGGGCCTCAATGCTCTTCAACTTCGTACTTTATTTGGCCTTTTTTACTTTTATTATTCGAGCGTCACTGATGAGTATTTTGTAGACGAAACCCGCGTCTGACGCCAATACAAAATTGTAATCCTGGTATCTATGATAAATTTATTATCAAATGGCAAAATTAAAAACTCAAACGCAACAAACAAATGGATAACAAAGGTTTTGTTCCTGACTCGGTACAGACTTTTTATGTAGAAAATTGTGAATCAAACCTGGTTTTATAGCTAGCTAATCTTCTCACATGCATAACAAACGCATAGAATGCCTTTATATTGACAGCGATATGTGAAAAACACAAACCGACATAGTAGGAAAACATGTCAAATAGGGGTACAACAGTCAACATTGTGTTATACTCTTAAATAAACAAATATGTAGCAAAGAAACACAAAAGGGCATATAGACAAATCACATAAGCAAAACTGAAAGACAAATTACAAAATTTGACCATAGCACGATAACACAATGAAGGGATGTACAAGTACCGAGCCACGACAAACGGATATCACAAATAGTACACTAAACAGTAAAATTAATATTCAAAAAGACAAATAAAAGAATACTGCAACACGTTATTAAGATGTTATACAATGTCAGTACCCAGAATCTATACTGTAAGACCATCGTGTATTATTTGTGAAGTCAATACGGAATATTTATCAACAAGGTCTTGGTATCTTCCGATGACCTTTTTTCAGAAGAAGGACGAGTTATTCTTTGACATACCCCTGGTTCTTCAACTTTCTGCTCACACATTGGTGACGTTCTACACAGTCTTATTAGCAGCTGCAAGCTCTTGCATACCGAATAAGTTAAATAAATTAAAAGAGGTCGACAAGGAGAGGCGCTCAATTAAGACATGTCATAATAAAAATGCAATATCATATCATTAAATGCTTTGTTACAAGCATACACTTCTCGTGGTGTTCATGTTTTTTTAACGGAATTATCTTTGTTACGTTTTTTTGTAAACAGGTTGCTCTGCGGTGCCAGACGGAGAGGAAGTTAAAAAGAGCCCTTCAATTGTGTTATGCCAAAACCAATGTCAATCGTATCAGTTCTTTGGTTACAGTGTAAGTTTTTCTATAAATGTAATTTCTAGTTACTTATTTCATATTTGATTCCAATACTATCATACTATGTAACCGACCAAAAGAAATAAGACGAAGAATTGCAAAACAAACAAAAACGTATAAATACCTTTATGAAAAAATAAATAAAAAATTAAACAATTGCTTATTCATAATACCCTTTTGAACCTTGGTATTTGTGAGCTTTAAAGACATTTTACAAAAGGCAAGAAATTATTTCATCAGATTATTAGTCCCCAATCGACGAAGTCGAAGGGGACTTTAGGTTTGCACTCCGTCTGTCTGTTTGTCTGTCTGTCAGTTTTCAACACTTTTTCTCATCATGGTTGAAGATATCGATTTAATATTTGGTGTATTGTTTTATCATGACAAGTTACAGATCAAGTTCGAATGTTGTTCCGGTCTGATGATTTTGTGCAGAGTTATGATCCTTTCACTAAGAAAATTCACTAAAATAATTAGTTTTCCGCACTTTTTTTTTGTCATTCTTGAATATATCATGACAAGTTACAGTTCAAGTTTGAATTTAGTTTTGGTCTGATGATTTTGGTCCTTGGACTTACGAAATTCTCTTAAATAATCAGTTTTATTACTTTTTTTCGTCATATTTGAAGGTATTGACCTGTTATATAATTTACCATGTGTTTACACTATGACAAGTAATTTGATCCAATACAATTAATTTTTAACCGGTTGGGGACTAGTTTTTTTCATGCAATACTCACAGAATGCTTGTTCTATTTGAATCTCAGCCACTGCAAGTATTGGAAATTAAAGTAGTTTTATCTGTGATAATTACCGAATATTAACGCCTGCATTTTAAGTATCATATTTATCAAAAATAAATTTGTCTGCATTATTCAAAACTCCAAGTAATGAACTTTGCTATTTCATTTAATGTTTGGATGGCAGGATCTATTACACATCTGTTATGATTTATTTGAAAATCAATTGGTTGCCATTACAACCATGTTTGGTGGAATCCGGGTCATGACACATTCAGCTCTGACAATACTTTTTCTGATAAAAAAAACTCAATGTTCGAAGGATGGTTGTTTTGCAAAGAGCAAACATATGATTACTTTCGTTCTCGTGTGTTTCGGAAAGATTCAAAGATATTTGCCATGAGTAGGCTGACTTGTTCTTCAGATCATTTCAAAGACTGGAGCAAATCATCGAATGGTCGTGATGCATGCATAACAGAGAAACTCATACAACTGATGCATCCGGTCATCTTTCGGAGGTCGTTAAATTCCCTCAGATATTATTTGTTACCTTGATTTATCTCTTCTTGGTCCATTTACGCGACTTTAACATCGCCTTAATTCATCAGCTTGTAAAGATCCAAGAATTAGCTTTAGACAGTGATATTAAAGATAATCATACAATTTAATCACAACTAAATATGCCTTTTATGGTGCAACCCACGCCATAAAGTTGAATTCCTTCGGTTGTGCAGAAAGTGAAAATTTGCATTCTTCTTCTAAATCGGGATATTTAATCTGATGTCTCATGTGATATCCTTTTCTTCTAACTGCTGTATATTACACACGATTTTGAATCTAGATTTTCAAAAATTGTGTGTAAATTTTTGTCTTATGAAAACAGTTTGTCCTTTCGTCAACATGACCAGAAAATCATAATAGGAGTAGCTGATATACGGAGAGAGTATACACTAAACATAGTTTCACAAAAATCTAATCATAGACATAGACAACCTTCCAAGCCGGTATCGGAAGATTTAACTGAATCTCACTGCACTATAAGTTATTTTCTTTACGAAATTGTGTTTTGGTCATGTGCATCTCAAGTATATCCTTTTTCTAAAAGTAACCTTAATCTTAACAGGTAATTTTCAGTCATTTTACAAAATTACATGATTAGTTTAGCCATTTCATCTAACATGTATAAAGCCTATGAAGCTTAGAAATTCTACAAATATCCGGAAAAATTAGGTTATTTAATAAAATGAGAAAAAATGGAAAATGCATGTAGCAGATATATATGTCTTTGTATAAATAATACTACAATGAATGCAGTAAAAAAATAATAAACTCATGCAATACTGTCACATTCTGCATTTGCCTGTCTCAATATAAATGTCTGTAATCCAGAGTTTATTTTGTGAATGGGGACAGCTATATATTCTTTCTTTTATTTATCAGAAAACAGGCCGTTACTTTTCTATCTGAATTTTTGGACATTTTGTATACCCAGGCCTGTTTTTATCTTTCTATATACAATATGTTTTTCTCATTCTTGAGTGTTGTATATGACGTTTTGTAGTTGTTCAAATCTTTGTCTTTTAATATATGATGGATAGTGGTCTAATTGACAATAGCATTTGATCAAATCTCCTTATCCTTATCTTTTAATTCATAATCGTAACATTACTATGTTCTCACTTCCGTTGTAAGAAGAAACTTATGTCTTAGCAATTAAATATCTTTCAAAACTTAAAATGCTTTTTAATGACTAATAATATCGTAAAGATTTAGTAATTTATTTTTTTAAATTTCAAAATTTAATTTTAAAAACTTTAATCTGGAATTTCAATTTTAAATATTTAAGCTCAAGTATTTAGGCTCGAATGATTTTTCTGGGCCATCCAGCATTTTCAGTACGATATTTCATTTACTTACAGGAGTCAACAGGAAACTGTTTTTGTCAACATTATGAAAGTAGCTGGTTCAATATAAGTGGTTGCATAGACAATAATGAATCGAAATATTCCTTTATTTATAAAGGTAAGTACTTTTAATTGTCAGATACACATCTTAACATGTTCACATACACTATTTCAGGACAATACAATAATCGCATTACCTGTAAATAATGAGTGGATTACAAAATATATCTATGATTAACATTTTATTCCAAGGCAAATGCATCCAAGTACAGCCATGTTTTCACAATTTACTTTATTTGTTGGACTGTGTATCCTTTGTTCACGTTTATTCTTACTCATTTGATTCATATATATTTTACTTTTATCTTCTCAGTAGATACACTGTTTTAATATTGATTCTGCCCAAGAATGTGTACTTTAATTTTTAACATTTATTCCACATTTAGCATACACTGGGCATGTTTCTGATAATGGCGATGGGAAATGTACGACTTTATTCTGTAGTACAGGTGCCAATGGATTGAAATCAGCTAATTGTAATGATTCTACAGATTTTGCAAGGACTAGCAGATGTAGTAAATATTCTTTAATATGTGAATAATTTGATTTTGCCATCACTATATATAATTTGCACAATTGGAATTTTCAATATGTCGTGAAAGACACCTTCCCCATAACAACCTGTGAGTTACAAATTTGACATGGGCTTATTTTTAACATTGTACTGCAACTTTCTATATATGTCTATGATCTGTTATCACTGACTAATAAGGATATAAGCATCTAAGTAGAATTCATAATTTGGAATTACTATTTTGAGAGTTTCAAATTCCAAACCTTTTTTATTAACGTAGTGATTCCAAAAAAAATGTTTCAAAGGACGTTTGTATTTTCTTTCATTGTGATGAGGATCTGCATAACTTTAAAAAGTACAATTAGGCAATTAAAAAGATACTTATAATAAAAACAAAAATAAGACAAACGAAATACGAAATAACGAACATGAACGGCACAACCCTTAAGTAGCGAACAGATGTCCATAGAAACATTCTACTTCAAATTAAATCTGCAATAAAAACGGAAGTGACAGTTAACACTTGGCGGTAATTTTTTGATCATTTTGATTTAATCACTTCAAGATGATGGATCTGAAGGCCAGTGGGCTGACTCGTATTCAACCAGCAGAAAAAAGTGCCTTGCAAGATTTCAGCTTTTACTTTCACCTGGAATGTATTGCCAGACGAACAATGCAGTCGAAGGGATACGTTTCTGGACAAACGTTTTTCGAGCGGAAACCGAAGCTAAGTTCACAAAAGGTAAAACAATAAATAATGTTATATTTTAGTTCGTGGTTTTTTTTCCTGGACTATAACCTTAATTAAATATAAATACATTAAAAGTTACATAACAAGAAACTTGAAATGTTTACATATATTGGTTTTATAAGTTGACGAAAAAGCCGGAGGTGTTTTGCACATTGTTTAAGGTAAGGTCTGCATAACCGAGCTCTAATAAGTATTTCCTTTCTCAATTCAGGAAAGAACTTTATGATAAAAATTAAAACAATCACCTAAAGACAACTGTATGGCATCATCATGAAATAAACTTATAATACATACCAGGACATTTTGTGCGCCAGACGCGTGTTTAGTATAAAAAAGAATCATCAGTTGCTCTAAACAAAAGTTGAAATGGCTTAAAAAAGCACGAAATTGAGGACATTGTGAACTCAAAATTCACTAATGCATTCTATCCTTGGAAATTCCCTTTTTTTGGAAAAAATAAAAGTTTTGTGAAATGTAATTCATAATTATGACCCTGTCAATGGTAATTATCAACAATAAAATGAAATATGTTTCATACATTTTATACCAAATAAATGTTCAAATGTTTCATGAGAAAAAGCAGAATGGTTTAAAAAAAAAATAGGTCGCTGCATCGATCATGCATAATAACCATTAAAACTATAGTAAAGATGTGCCTGTGCATTTTAACGGAAGGCATCACACAGCAAAAATCACTCAAGTTTGTATTTAGAATAAAAATTATGGAATGTTGCAGGTTTTCTTAACCATGCTTAACAAAAACGTGTTTTTCAAGTGAAAAAAACACCACATTTTCATTGTCTTATTTAAGACATTTTAAATATTAGGATAAGATAGAAAATGGCAAGGGGAAATGTATAAATTAACTCTCCAAATGAGCAAATGGATCTTCAACGTAGCGGAAAAAAATCCACACCCAGATTCGGGCTTCAACTGACCCCTTAACAATAATGTATATTAGTCCAGCGAAAGGGAAGCCACACTGCACTCCGAATCATCCGAAAGAATCAAAATTAAAAAAGCACAAAATATCTGTATCCCTTATATGTATCACGAAACGAACGTTTGTTTACAATTAGAAAAACAGATATTTTGAAAGAAAAATAAATTGATTTAATTAAAACCGAATTTTTATGATTCATCAAATTTAACGTCTGATACCCATTCAAATGTACACGGCATGGGATATTGTAGTTTAATATATAATGTACACTTTCAATTTAATATAAATATTGACTGAGTATATATTTTTTGCTGACACATGTTTACCAGTATATGTGTATTGTTGGAGAGGATCCTATTTAGTTGTGTCCAATTCCCTTGTTACACTTTAAAAGGACAGGATACTTAATCTATATGTTGGTAATGTTACTACATTAATCCATACTAAATAGATAAAGCTGGAAAACCATTTAATTATTTCCAGCCGAAGCAGGTACCAAACAACCACTATACTGTCTAGCAGGCTCATTTACGGAACAGAATACAAAAAGAGTGCTTAATTTGACCAGAAGAGATTGTTCTGACAAGTTACATTTTGCGTGCAGAATTGGTATATATGAATAACGTATTAGCTAATTCAATTGTTGTTAATTAAAACAGATCTTTGAACACTGGTATGGGTAACAGGTGCATTTCAATTCAAGTAGGAAGTATTAGTTATATTTTCTTCATTCTTCTGTCTATATCGTAAACGTGGATACGTGCATGCATTATAGCTGTTGTCATATCTAAGACGTGTCTATATTATTTGAAGTACCATATGAAATTATTATTACAACAATTCAATGCACCATAAACATGATAAAGATCGCTTTATTATTAGGCTAAACAGTTACATTTAATAGTAATACAAACGAAAATATGGTAATTGTTCTACAAAAACCTATTAGATGCCACTGTATTCCAGATACCTCTTCAACAACAACCGCAAAGCACAGTTTAGTTTCTGTAGAGATACCAGAGAAAGTTGAAAGCACGAAACTCATGTCTGCGGTACAAGGTGTCAAGCCTGGTATCAATGATGAGTTTATTTTTCATTTAAGTACCACGTTTTGTTTTTGACTTGGTCTTGCTGTTGAAAACTTTTATTTATATGCAATATTCATTTCTATTCGTATATCGAGTAAACTATGTGTACCAGAAGAAATATTTAATACTCATTATCTAGCCAGTACCTTAACGATAGAAAAAGTAAAAAATTTCCTGGGTAACAATGCACACAGACAAAGTGTTGTTTTCAGTCGTTTTCCCTAAAACCCTCCCAGAGCAATACTTCATCTATATATCTGAGTGTCACATTAAAAAACTCGGAAAATTAGTTTCATTTTTGAATTATAAATATCAGAAGTCCTTTAATATATCTAAAACATGTTCATATTATATGTAGTTCTGAGTACCATATGAAATTATTATTTCCATGATATTATTTTCTTCATTATATATATTGTTAAGATCAAAAGTTCAGAGTTTACTGTAAAGTCTTCGGTGTATTTCTTGCTTGAATCAGAATGATTAATTCCTAAATACGTATTTCGGGATTACAAGCAAGACATTTGTTTCCATTATTATCATTATTTACGAGAAAAAAAACAATGTAAGCAGAAGATTATGTCGATCTGTCAATTTAGCAGTTGTAATATTCTTGTAGAGTGTATAAAATAAAATGTTTTGATATTATTGTATATTATTACATTGGTTGCAATGAATTACATTGATTTCCCAGTTAGATAAAAACCGAAAATTCCACATGTGAAATAAACGTGGTTATTTCACTCTCTGACGTCATACAACAATAGGCGTTGACAAGACGTCGATAACGTCGGATCGAAATAAATTGTGAATGCGTAGAAAAAATATAGTTCCTTACATTTTCTACACTAAATTCATAAAAAAGCCACTTGTCAATGTTATAAAAAGAATAACTAATCAAAGAATTAAAATATCGAAAAATATTCAACTCGTGACCGAACAACACTGATAATTAACTCATGCGCTACGCGCATTCGTGAATTAATGTGTTGTTTGGTCACTTGTTGAATATTTTTCTCTATTTTAATTCTTCGATTAGTTCTTCTATAATTATTGAATTATGATTTTGTGTAACGATTTTATAGAAGATCTTTCGACATGATAACAAACTACATCTTATCAAATCCACCGATTGTGTATACCTCATCACAATATTTTTTATACTATATCTGCAGCTGTAAAAAAAATTGTTCAACGAAATTATGGAAGAGGTTAAGATAAACTGATATATTAGTAGTCTGCGTATGTACTGTACTCTTAAACGATTTTTTTGCATTATGGTAACAAAAATAGATTCAGCACATGGTAATCATCCTTCTGGGTGTTAATACATAAGAAGAGACAGACGAATTTGTGATTTCATAAAAACAAAACAAAAACACCTTGTGATTCAGGTCAATGATGAAGAAAATATATACAGAGGCTAATTGATATTTTTACTGTGAATTCAAAGTTCTTTTGTAAAAATTTCGAAATACTAGTAATGATTTTGTATATCAAAACAATGATTGTAAATATATCAACATTAAACCATCAAAAGCTAAGAAATGGCATAACTCATACCTAATTATTTCAATATGGAATTAACTTATGCAACTGACTTAAGATAAGAACAAGGAACTTTCCCAATGGAATTTGAATTTTCTAAACATCCGGAATAAATTCATATTGGCTGCAGATCAGCGTTTGATATTTTTGTTTTAAACAGAATTTGGCGATTAAGGTTCCTGAGATAATCTATTTAATAAGATTTTTTCCCATTTTGAACATCTTGCAACCCCAAAAATATAGATCTGCAATACAACCGTCTTTCTTAAAATGTTGAGTGAATGCCATATGACACAAAACCAAGAAATTGCAGAATAAGGAAGACCCAAACAATCGTGTAATCCGTTTTTCATTTTGCGTTTTACTATTTCTTTTATGTATTTCCAATTTGAAGAAGATAATAGATGAGCACTAGATTCAAGGCAATTATCTGTCGATATAAAACATTCATTTAAGGAATGACTTTAATATTTTTTCTGTCTATGAAAAAATAACATCAAAAATGTGGTGCACACTGAATAACCCGTTTAATTACATTTTAAACCGGCGTAAATCATGAAAAAAACGTTGATGACGTCACGGTCATATGACAAAATTATGTCTATGAGATGATAAACAAAACACTGTCAGCCATTCAGAAGACACGTTACAACCAAAATTAAATTATTAACATATCAACACAGTACAATCAAGTTAGAAAATAAAACTGCAGCAATAACTGATAGAACACACCACTATGTAAACCAAAAGTAAAAACCCCTAATTTTATGAACACATTATTTTAAACAGAATAAAGCATGCGGTGTACATATTATAGTTGCATATGAAATGTTTTAAAAAATTATTGAATTGTATAACAATGTTTTTGATATTTTCTAAAGGTACAGACTCTTGTACAACTCAAATCATAATTGCCACACAGAAAATAAAGAAAGATTCCAGCGGTAGTTTTGATATAGGTACATGTTGTGTTTTTAAATCTGATTTTTTTCAGCTATTTAGCATGATTGTGTCCTTCATTTATCTCAGCTTTTTGTCTAAAATTAGATGTTATAACAGAAAGACGAAAAACTAAAGGAATAATCAAACTCAGAAGTCGAAAACGAAATGACAATGTCATGCAAAATCTAAAATCAAGCAAAACGACAAGCAGATGTGCACAAAACACAGCATAAAACATTGAATGCTGAGTAATACCCACCAAAACAGGTTGCTGTATACAAAAAGGACGATTGGTATATTATATTTAAGTGCTTATTACAGTTTATCACTAGCTATAGTACTCCGGTTTTATTTTCAACTCAACGAATAAAATCCATAACTACCAAATATCGTCCAGCATGACTTATTATTTTAGAAATACAAAATTTATCAATCCCTCTCTGAAGTGAGAATTACAGAGTTTATACTCCATAAGACGTTATACTATGATTGCCGATGACACAAAGTTTATAAGAACACTTTTTCGTCTAAATGTTGTATTTGTATCGGGTATAAGTAAAACATATTGTTCACATCTGTATCATATGTGTTGTCTGTATTCGTTAGGCCCAGTTATTGGTGGCATTGTAGCTGCAGTAATACTTGTAGCTGTTTTGCTTGTGGTGATTTCATGCAAAATAAGGTAAGAATAAATTTGTGCTCTGTGTTTGAAAGTTATTTAATTTTCGTGTGCATTTTGTATCACACCATAAATCGAAATTTTATATTGAGAAATGTATCCATTGCTTTTTCATTTGACGCTATGATAATTATAAGGAAATTAGCTTGATGGTCTTACACACATTTTAACTATCGACCTGCATACATTTTTTTTACCGCTGTAGACTTGCAGTACTGGTCCGGAATTCATTTACAAAAAGACTCCTGAAATAACCGGAGTTGACTTTCTACAAAACATTTTTAGATTTAATGAACAGTGTAGCAGTTCAATTTAATACTTTCCTTGAAGAAATTGACAAACTTTCTCGATCTTTTGTATAAATACTTTTGTGGCATTCTTCAATACTAGAGGCATAGATCATTTTTTTTTAGTAGCCAGTTAATGTATAAGTTAGTTATGATGCATACTCTTTTTAATGCTAATCATCCTTATTTTCAATGTATGTTACCATTTACTAAAAGGTGCAAACAAAGAGCTAGGATACATCATGTACCCTTGTATTCACGTATCAATATCCTAAAAATGTGCATCGTAGCAAAATCAATTATTCAGTTGATTTAACACTGCATGTTTACGTATTTCATAAATATATCTCTTGTTAATTCATCTCAAAACTAAACGTTAGACCTTAACAATTTAAAAAACAAATGTGCAGGCAAAAACCTCACAATACCAGAGGACGATAACACCAGCTGCCACACACCTTTATTTTGTGGGGACAATTGTTAAGCTGCACAGGCTTTAGTTTTCTTCGTAGTGTTTTTTGAACTTGTTTGCCTTTTCATTGTAGTATGTTTTTCTCATATTGCTTGCAGTTTTTTCTCGACTTATGAGTTTTGATTGTCCTCTTGGTATATGTTGCCTCCTTTTTAGAATGAAATAATGCTGTCAATTATAAGTTTTAGAATAATTGCTGTACAACCAGTATCCAATGTTGTGAATTATCAGAACATAACTAAATAATATAATACGGATTTTTATATAGCGTCGTAAATACTAACACACAGTTTAAAATGTGAATGATTCAAATACCACTTTACAGAAATTCTATACTCACTATTACATTTTGTTTGTATCTTATAGTAATTTAGTCTCTAATATCTAAGTAAAGAAACTATTTATTGTGCTTGTTTTACATTTATACTTATATTTTTATGGATCATTTTGCAGTAAGAGTTTTGCTCAGTCGATGGTCGTACGGTGATCTTTAGTGCTTACATTCTGTTTTTTCGTACATCCGCATTGTTTGGGCTCTTGTGGATCGAGATCTCATTTTTAATCATACCAAATCTCCTCATTTTATATTTCTTAGATTTTGTTGTTTGTTTACCATTGCCTACTACATGTAATAATTTTGGTAGTATCTAGTCCGCGCGTTGATTTCAAATAAAGAATAGTTACTGGCAAAACAGTAGTATCTGCCTGATTTTAAGCAAACTCTCTAGACTTTATAAATATCTAAATAAGTGCTTGAATCATAGACGGAATGTAGCTTATTGCCTCTAGGTCAAATTTTTTAAATGTCTAGGTAATTTTTGCATAAGATAGCTGTTCTTGGCTTCCTAATTGTGAGCTTTTCATTTCTAAACCAAGAGTTCCAAATGGTGAAGTTGAAATCATCACTTCGTAAATTTTACGGACGGCATTGGTTGAAGTTTTGGAATATCCGTTTCACAGATCATATCGGATATGTTCCTTATGTCGTAACTACAATCCCGTTCCCTTTTAACGAATGTGACCTACCGAGTTATACTATATACCAGCTTTGTAATAACATGAGCAACACAACGGGTGCCATATGTGGAGCAGGATCTGCCAACACTTCTGGAGCACCTGAGATCACCCCAAGTTTTTTTGGGGTTCGTGTTACTGTTGATCACCTATTTGTGACATTTTTGCCTATTGTGTCTGTTTGTTTTGTTCACACATCATTGTCAATATAAAGAAATTTGATGCGACTGTCATACAAGTGAGATGTTTAGCTAGCTTTAAAACCATGTTAAAACAACCATTTTCTACATAAGAAAATGCCTGTACCAAATAAGGAATATGACAGTTGTTATCCATTCGTTTGATGTGTTTGAGATTTTGATTTTGCCGTTTGATTAGGGACTTTCCGTTTTGAATTTTCCTCGGAGTCCAATATTTTTGTGACTTTACTTTTTTGATGGTATGTAGTTATAGAAAAAAACGTTTCTTTCTGAAATTACTTGAATATATCTTACAGATTATCTTGAGTATGCCAACTGGGCATATATTTTATATGTATCCAAATCGTGTGGTTTATATAGATCAGGGGTCAAGCCCGACTTGTTTTAAGTGTTTGCCCCAATTTTTTGTAGTTCATTAATGGAGTTTGAAGGGGTTAAAATGGTTACAATATGGTTTTTAATTGTTCCTGTCCTTTTATACTGCCTTGAAAGTATAGTTTTTGATTAGTTATATTGTTTTGAATGATAAATCCAGTATTTCATTATCATTTGTAACATATTGATAAAAGAAAGGATTCAGTACTAATGATTCAAGTTACTATGGTTTTTATATCTAAAAAAGAAAATGTATTTTGTCAAACAATAATGCAGCTCGGGGAGTATAAGTGGGCTTTTTACAAGTTATTTCTGGTATATTATGTTTCTCTAAGATATAGAAATTAGATTGCCCATTTGGTAACTTCTCACTGTTTGCACAGATATAAACAGATTTAGATGATGTTTTCAGGTCATGTGGATTTTTCAAAACGACCAGTATGGATAAACAAGAAGTTCCATTTTCAACAGCAGTATGTGAGCATTCACAAAATTTAGAAGTGAGAACAAGTGTGTCATCGACATCTAACGAATCATATGGCTTAGCTTCAATCAATTCTACCCACACATATGCAGTCGTCAACAAAATAAAAAAAGACGGACTCCAAACAACTGAGCACACTTATACTGAAACATCATACGGTGAATATGATCGATTAAACGGGGTATCGAAACGGCGAACAGATTCAAAGGAAAATTTATATGACAGCAATGCAGGGATTCGTAACGAAAATGATCCAACTTACGACAGTTCCAACCATGGAGGAAGAAAGCTTCAATTTGATAACGATGTTTATGATCATACAGACACAGTATCAACAGACTTAAGTGACTACGGTTATTCGTCAACTCTCAAATCAGAAAATAGATATGCACTTGGTGTATACGATAAAGCAGTCTAGCGGCAACAGTTTATTTCCTGAGAAGGGTTACTGGTAATGCAATACTGTGGAATGTGAGCACAATAATATATTTGATATTATAGATTTGTTTGTAACCCCAATTTCATGAAGTGTCTGATGTAGGAATTTTATATCTAATCCAGGTTAATTGCGCTCTTTTCATTAAATAGTCATCAACCTTACAGTCACCTTAAATATTTCATCATCATCATAACTATTTTAAAGAAATTCAGATAAAAAATAGAAAAGTGAATATTTTCATTTTTTTAAGTTATTTGTAGATAAATGATATAAATCATGCTTGGAGTTTTATTTATCTTATGAAGAGATAACATTGTCTTAATTTACATTCCAGCAAAAAAACACTACACATATCACTAAAATTAAAGTCACTCCAGTTGGAAGAAAATACATACGAAAAATATTATAAATTGTATCCAATAGACTGACCTGTTTAAGTATTGTATACTAGTATGTAAATAGTATTAACATAATTTACTTTTTAATCGTATTCGCAATATATGAATGTCTTCAATTTCAATTTTATCAACATAATCTTGTTAAACAATAGCTGCTGCGGAAAATATGGGATTTTTATCGTTTCATACAAGTGAAACCACAAAATACAAACGAAAATTAATTTTTGAAACACAATTTGTGGCGTATTTAGCTTTTTCACATTGGTCTCTGATTGCGGTTTATCTCTTTCTGCATCTAATCGTCCATACTAAGTGGACTGTGGCCATACGCAGACAATTGTATAAGCATCTTGTTCCTTATGTCGTAACTACAATCTACTTCCCTTTTCACGAATGCGACCTACCGAATTAGACTATTTACCGGGTTTGTAATAACATAAGCAACACGACGGGTGCCACATGTGGAGCAGGATCTGCTTACCATTCCGGAGCACCTGAGATCACCCCAGTTTTTGGTGGGGTTCGTGTTGCTTAGTCTTTAGTTTTCTATATTGTGTCTTGTGTACTATTATTTGTCTGTTTGTCTTTTTCTTTTTTTAACAATGGCGTTGTCAGTTTATTTTTTATCTATGAGTTTGACTGTCCCTGTGGTATCTAACGGCCCCTTTGTGTGTTCTACAAGAAATTAAGAAAATATGTGAGCGTCAATAGTGGTCATATCAATAACAGTACTTATCAGTATGACTATCAAAAAAAATAATCCACGGAATACTTATTGCAAAAAGACGCATAGCGACTGTTTGCGTCTATAAATGATTTTCGAATGATCGCAATAAATCTGTCATCGTGTTATTTTGTCTCATAATGGCCGCCAAAATCATAATGACGCGCATAATATCTTAGAATAGTGAATTCAACGTTATTTCGAATAACTCGGAGATATATATTCAAAGTAAAATCACAAAAATACTGAACTCCGAGGTAAATTCAATCGGAAAGTCCCTAATCACATGGCAAAATCAAATGACAAAACACATCAAACGAATGGACAACAACTGTCATATTCCTGACTTGGTACAGGCATTTTCAAATGTAGAAAATGGTGGATTGAACCTGGTTTTATAGCGCTAAACCTCTCACTTGTACGACAGTCTTATCAAATTCCGTTATATTTACAACGATGCGTGAACAAAACAGACATTATAAATAAAATAGTCAAAATATGGGTACAGCAGTCATCACTGTGTTACAATATCAAAACAAACAATTATTTACAAAAAAGCACAAAAGCATCTATCAAATTAAAAACCACATTCATTGCTTCGCGTGTCTGACGTCAGAAAATGTAAACGTCACATAAGAAAAAAGTTTGTCATTCAATGTTTATTCAAAACAATTTTATAATTTCACATGGGGAATGTTGGTATACAGGGTTAAAAAATCAAAAGTTATGTTAGAATTAATTTCAGAAATAGACCGAGATTTAAAATTGTCCAGAAGTACTTTAGAATTTTTAAGAATCCACATATGGTTAATACCACTACGCGAGTAAAATAAATTTGTCGTTTGTCTTTTAAAGTATTTTCAAATTTATAATAGAACAATAACATAATGACATATAATAGAACAATAACATAATGCCGGGATCTTTTAAAGTACAGAGTCACGTTATAAGAACCACAGAAACACAAAAAGTCGCATATACAAAACACACCAGCAAAAATGAAAGATAATACAAACACATTGACGGGATGTATAAGTACCTAGCCACGTCAAATGGATATCACAGAAAACAAACCAAACAGTAAAAGTACTATTAATAATAGAACACAGACAAATGAAAGAACAATATTACACGTTGTTAAGATGATAAACAACGTCAGTATGCAGAATCTATACTTCAAGACCATCATGTATTATTTGTGAAGTTGATACGGAATATTTATCAACAAGGTCTTGGTACCTTCCGATGAACTTTTTTAGAAAAAGGACGAGACGTTCTTTGACATACCCCTGGCTCATCAACTTTCTGCTCAGACACTGGTGACGTTTTACAAAGTCTGAGTAGGAGCTGCAAGCTCTTGAATATCGAATAAGTTGGGAAATGTATATCCCATATGCAGGTGAAGTTGGTATATTGCTACTAAGGTGGGGGAAATTTATAATTTTAAAATTAAAATCGTCTCGTTTGTCATAGATTCTGGTACTGAGATGACTGTGTATGTCAAATTCGAGATGTAAGTCTAAAAATGAGGTGGAGGAAGCCGTGTCTGTTGTTTCTTTAATTTCTAGTTCTGGGGGATATATTAATGGAACCCAATCAGAAAAGTTCGGATTGTTAATGGAAAGAACATCATCAATATATCTAAAAGTGAAATTAAATAATCTGGCTTCTTTGATCTTCTTGTTTTTGACTAGTGTCTGAAGGAACTCCGATTCATATGAAAATAAGAAGAGGTCGGCAAGGAGAGGCGCACAGTTCGTTCCCATAGGAATGCCGACAATTTGTTGAAAAATTCTACCTCCAAATTCAACAAATATGTTGTCGATATGAAACTCTAGCATACTGATCACTTGTTCTTCTGTGTAGCATGTTTTACCCTTTTGTTCACTATTAACAAAATATGCCTTATGATATCCCAAAGTAATAAATTTATAGCGTATGCTACCATTTTTATGATGAAAGGCATTGTGGATTATTTCTTTCAAGCAGTTTTTCAATTTCACATGGGGAATGGTGGTATACAGGGTTGAAAAATCAAAAGTTTTGATAGAACTAATCTCAGAAAAAGACCGAGATTTAAAATGATCTAGAAGTTCTTTAGAATTATTAAGAATCCACATATGGTTAATACCACTACGCGAGTAAACAGTTTCACAGTATTTCTGAAGACCCTCTTTCACTGCGGACAGAATTTTAGTCAATCTAATGGACAATTCTTTAGTGGAACATGCAGATGAGCCGGCAATGTACCGTTGTTTGTAAGGAATTTTGTGGAGCTTAGGTATCCAATACAAAAAAGGTAAGTCCTCCGATTTGGTGTTCAATGTAATGTTCATTGAAGCCATGAAGGACTTATGATTTGCTAAAATCTCATCCTTGTCAAATGATATGTCTTTGTATGTGGGATTACCCGAGTGCTCATTTATTCCTAATTCTTTTACAAGACATTCGTAGTAATACGATTCACATATAAAGACAATATTATTTGAAGCTTTGTCCGCAGGAACAACAACATACTTATCATGAAGAGATGATAGACAATATTCAGATCTTGTTAGAAGGCTGATACATAAAATTTGAAATTAATGATTTTAATGGAAAATATCAAGTCTCCATTTGTTTGTAAATTGTAGTTTCCAATCGTCACACACTATAAGTTTCTTAATCTACAGCCAGATGTTTGGTTAAAAAGACCAGTAGTATTCTTCATGTTTATTGAAAGATAATAAATGTGATAAACTCTACAGTTTCAATTTAATATGTTAAAAGGCATCATTGATACAGCAAATATTGAAACCAAAGGATAACTCTTTCTTCTTTAAACTTATTGTCCTTGTTTGCAGCATGTTTTACACCAAGTCAAGTAGGCACAATTTAGCTAATATCAACGCTACTTATCTTGTAATTGCGCCTTACATTCGTATCATGTACTTGATAGTAATGTAATGGAAAACGTTGTTTCTGTTGTATTTAGACCCCTCTACCAAGACATTTGTTTTGCATGTACACGTATAAAAATTGCGGTTTTCATTCAACGCAATCATAGGTTTGAACGTTGTTTTCAATTTAGACTTGTTTATACTTTTTCGTCTGGGCTTGTATTATATTTGCCTTCGGGTTTGTATGGTTTGTATGATCCGTTAATCCTATTTTCACTTTTCAAAATTCAAGAGTCTATCCTAAATTGCGGTAAATTATATGGCCTTTCAAATACCGTTTCGATTCCTAACATCACTGAAGAAACATTAATTGTCGAAATCCAGATATGGTGTACTAATTTCTGCACCTTTTGTTTGCGGTTTACCATCTTTTCCGCAAGTTTTCTGTTTTCTGTTTGGTATTAAATTAATAATTAAGATCCATTTTGTTACATCTGGTGATCTGTTTATTTGGCAATCGCCAATGGCAGTCAGCAGGGTCAAGGAACATCCTGTGTTTGACCTGCTAGTTAATTGCATTTTGCTGAAATATACTTTTTCACTTTTTTTGTCTTTTGGAAAATGTTGTTTGTGCTGTATTTACGTGATTTAGACCCCTCTACAAAGAAATTTGTTTTGTATGTACACGTATAAAAATTGCGGTTTTTATCCAACGCAATCATAGGTTTGAACGTTGTTTTCAATTTAGAATTGTTTATACTTTTTCGTTTGGGCTTGTATTATATTTGCCTTCAAGTTTATATGATCCGTTCATCCTATTTTCACTTTTCAAAATTCAAGAATCTATCCTAAAGTGAGGTGAATTATATGGCCTTTCAATACCGTTTCGATTCCTAACATGACTGAAGAGACATTTATCGTCGAAATCCAGATATGGTGTACTAATTTTTGCACCTTTTGGTTGAGGTTTACCATCTTTACCGCAAGTTTTATGTTTTCTGTTTGGTATTAGATTAATAATTAAGATCCATTTTGTTACATCTGGGGATCTGTTTATTTGGCAATCGCCAATGGCAGTCAGCAGGGTTAAGGAACATCCTTAATTGGACCTGCTAGTTAAATGCATTTTGCTGAAATATACTTTTTCACTTTTTTTTTGTCTTTTGGAAAATGTTGTTTGTGCTGTATTTAGACCCCTCTACCAAGACATTTGTTTTGCATGTACACGTATACAAATTGAGGTTTTTATCAAACGCAATCATAGGTTTGAACGTTGTT